AGGAGTACAAGAAGACTTTCGATGGACGCGCGTTCCTCCAGTTCGACTCGTCCTCGACCAAGGAGCAAGAGGAGGAGAGAATTGTGATATTCGGGACTGATGATGGCCTGGATCTCCTGAAAGAAGGGCGACCTTGGCTTGTGGATGGGACGTTTGTGTCTCCACTCCCTTTCCTTCAACTCCTTACCATTTGCATACTGGAGGAATCCACAGTCGTCCCCGTCATCTACAGTCTACTGCCAAATAAAAGTCGAAAGTCGTATTCAAGGGTTTTCGATTGGGTCAAGAACAAGTGCGCAAGTGCACCCTCCTCGATTTTGATAGACTTCGAAAGTGACACTGTAGAAGCCGTTCGTTCGGTGTTTCCAGAAGCAGAAATTAAAGGCCCTTGCCTTTTTCATCTGATGCAATCCGTCTATCGAAGCGTTCAGTCGTCTGGGTTGAAGAAACTGTACGCTGAAGATTCGGAGTTTTCGGTAAGAATACGGATGCTTCCCTCTCTGGCATTCCTGCCCCATGGACAAGTTTACACTGCCTTTGTCATGTTATGCCGTGACTTTCCCAAAGAAGGTCTTCCGGTTCTAGGTTACTTCGAAGATACCTATATCAGTCGAAACCGGCAAAGACTTGGAATCCTGCCTCTCTTCACTGTTCACACATGGAACTTGTACGACACTCTGCAGAAGGAAGACAACCCTCTACAAACGACGAACGAGAACGTGGAAAGATGGCATGACGCCCTCCAAGCAGCAATCAACCGTGGTACGACAATCAATAAGCTACTAGACGCCTTGAGGAGTGACGAGCACCGCGAGCGGAATACGGGGGGCGAGCCACGGAGGAAGCGAAGAGCGTATCCACTGAGATACGGCAAGATTCGCCGAATAATTGAAGAATTTCAAGATGAAACCCGTGAGAAAATGTCAGACGACAAAATCCAGCACTTCTTGCGCAACGTGGCTTGCAATTTGGAACTCTAATATTTTCACCATGAAATCCCAACCTTTTTTAATTCCCAGATGGAACTGCAACTAGAATATCTATATCGCGATGAATAATTCCGTCATGAAGGTGGCTTGGGAATCTCCACAGACAAACGTGTGTAAAAAAAAAAAACATTCTACGTTCTCAGCCACATCTCCATGGATTTTCCCAGTGAAAAGGAGAAAAAGGCAGACTATAACCATTTGAAATCTGCATTAGAAGAAATTTAAGCATTTATGTTACCTTCATTCCATGCAACACCTATTGTTCACTTCATTCTGTACTCAAGTACCAAAGATTTACATCTTCATGAATAAATAATGAAAAGTCTTGAATCACTTATAATCAAAGTAAACGGAGACAAGAGTGCTTCAACTGCAAAAGGAAAAATTATTCTGCGGAGCGAACTCGACAGTTGCCGGTCGGAACACAGACAACAGGCAGGAAAAAAAAAGAAGAAAAGGGAAATCACCCAGGATCGTGCGAAGACTCTGTCGCCCCCCCTGGCGGAGTGCGAAAGTTGATGAGATCGAAAGCTTCACAACAAGCTTCACCAACACAGCACAACACGTTGGCAAACGTTGGCTACGAAGTGCAAAATGATTCAAGAGAATATATCTGTGGAAACTGCTATTTCCGCTGCTATCGGGCAGGTGAATGTGACTCCGGAAAACACGGAAGAAGAGATGGATTGGACTCCTTCTAAACGTTGGCTACGAAGTGCAAAATGATTCAAGAGAATATATCTGTGGAAACTGCTATTTCCGCTGCTATCGGGCAGGTGAATGTGACTCCGGAAAACACGGAAGAAGAGATGGATTGGACTCCTTCGCCTATTGAGACATCCTCGGGAATCCAATTACAATATGTGTCCACCTCCGTTCCTGCATTTTCAGCCGCAATCCTCGTGCCAGAGAGTTCGTTCCGGAGGATGATGTTCTGTCCCTTGGCCATTTTCATCTGTGACGAATAAAAGAATTGATTATCGAATGAAGCTGCCTCATCATTCCAGAATATATTTTCGGGCACATCCTTTCTCCCTGTTCCTTCGAGGGTGGCAGGCGCTCGTTCCTACCCTCCCGAACGTGTGGGGTCATTCGCAGTGTGTTCACCCTAAAATTTGAACTGCATTATCGGACTCTTTCTCGTGGTGTCCATGGCGGCAATCGCTATCTATCTCTCGACGTCGAATGACGCCAGATATGCTCGTCCCGTGTCGAGACTTTCTTGGGCTTCAGATCGTTGTGAAATCGGCTCTCTTCTCTATCGCCTTCCTCAGGGGAGGGATCTCCTCTGAGTGTTGAATATTAGGGTAGCATTTACAGACAAAGGTGCATAACTTGACTGGCCATGCAGAGGAGTTTGATGTAGAGAATCTTTCAAGGGGACGTTTCACCGCGAAAACGATTCCCCTCTTGGATATCATCTACATTCATCATGGTAATATTTACAGTAAGGCAAAATCGTATAGTGAGGTACTAATTTGAACGTTATTTTGCGTGAGGCGCAAACGGAGACAAGTGTGCTTCAACAGCAAAAGGATTATTATTCTACAGAGCGAACTCGACAGTTGCCGATCGGGACACAGGCAACAGGCAGGGAAATCACGCGGGATCGTGCGAAGACTCCTCCGCCTTCGGGGTTCTAAAGTCGATGGGATCGATTGTTTGAGGATGAGATTACGAATTGATCAGTGATTCCGACGAAAAATTAACTTTGTGTTCAAGACGTCGGCCACGACGATAATCTAAGGAAGACATCATCTGACTCTTTCACCGTTCCTTCTTGCGGTGTCCATGGCGGCAATCGCTATCTCCCTCTCGACGTCGATCGACGCCAGATATGCTCGTCACGGGCACTCTACTCTATCGTCTTCATCAGGGTAGGGTTCATCTCTGAGAATTTAATATTGGCGGTTGCAAGGACAGACGAACTAGAGCGGGCTCCAGGCAGAGAAATGTAATACTACCCAACACAGCAAAAAGCAGAAACGTACTTTGAGGTACATATGTTGTGCGCAGAGGGATAATAATACGTCGTGAAGTACGTTTTAGTTTAAAAGGTACGGTAGCAAAATATGGTTCACACATTTGTACCTTTCTTATTCGTTTCGGGCTTAGGGGCGTTTAAAAACCTGCTAGTGAACCTGGATTATCAGCTTTGAAGAGAGCTTTAATGGCACAATCTTCCCGCACCTCGTCTCTGAGAGGCAGCGAGCTATCACTGATAACACTGGGCAAGCGGCTCCATTTCCCATCGGACGTGCCGGCTGTCTCATGAACAGTGTCTTTCCCAGCTATCATGGGGACAGTAGATCACGAGACCACCCAGCTTTACAGGGATAATGTTTTACGTTTATTTAAAGTTGGCCGCTCATTTTCCAGAGGGCAAAAACTCTTAACCGGTTGGTTCACACTTCTCTGTTCCTGTACCAAACCCCAGCATTTTAAATTTTGCCAGAATCCTTGATTGAAATTGCAACACGATACCGATTTTTTTTTTTTTTTAATAAAAATATTGCTTTACAAGTATCATGTTCGATACAGGGAAAGAAAAAAAGCTGTTCTCCAAAGGTCCGGTGCGTCCAGACTTCCAACTTCGAAAGTTCGGGGAACATGACCGCCATCTTATGCTGATTTTGAGTACTGCATTGAGCACCAGGACATCTGCATCTGCTGCGTACCCGTGTTTACGTCTGGACCATGCAAGGGAACGCAAGGGACACGAAATGTACCTCTCGCATTTGTACCTCCCCTTGTGCATTTCTACTTTGCTGTGCACGAAGATGAATCTCAGCGCGGACCATTCACTGCTCGGACCATTCTCAGCAGGGACCATTCTCTGCACGGACCATTCTCCGCATGGATCTTTCTCTGCACGGACTATTCTCCGCATCGACCTTTCTCTACAGGGACCATTCTCTACACGGATCATTCTCTGCACGGACTTTACTCCGCAAGGATCATTCTCAGCACGGACCATTCTCCGCATGGATCTTTCTCTGCACGGACACTTCTCCGCAAGGACCTTTCTCTGGGCGGACCATTCTACGCGCGGAGCATGCTCCGCGAGGATTCCATTGCATGGACCATTTTCCACATGGATTCCTTTGCGCGGTCCATTCTCCCCATGATTATCTCTTCAGTGGAGATTATCTAATCATGATTGGACTTCAACCTTTCAACTCATATAAATGTAAGTGGGAGTGACCGACAAAGACAAATATATTACACTCCAATATATACAATTCTGCAATCGATAAAAATCTCGTATCCTTCGACTCACCCGGATTTGTCAGTGTGTCGGACATTGAGAAGAAAACAGAAACAAGGACCATGGTGGCATACCAAGTCGTGATCACAAGGTCGTGATCGTTTTCGTTCGCTGTCTGTTTCTTCCCACAGGTGGTGTGTCTTAAACCTCACCCCTTTTTCTGTGAACGGTTTTCTGCAGTAGATTTTTGCAACCGATGCTTCACGTTTTAGATTCAAGAGAATATATCTGTGGAAACTGCTATTTCCGCTGCTATCGGGCAGGTGAATGTGACTCCGGAAAACACGGAAGAAGAGATGGATTGGACTCCTTCTAGTGTTCCAGCACTAGCAAAAGCAAGCGACAGACAAAGAAGGGTGTCCACCACACAGAATTTGGAGTGGGGAAAAAGACACTTGCCAAAAGACGTCATCTAAAAACGTTGGCTACGAAGTGCAAAATCTGGAATTCCGAATGTCTGTTTCATCGACGTCATGGATAATTATGAGTTGTCTCTTCTGGGTCATCATCTTTCATCACAAAATGCTAGGACCGAGGTTCGACTCTTGCTTCCATGAACTGCTAGTACTGCTAGGTACTCTTGCTATGAAAAGTTACGACGTGAGTCGATTATTGCTACGAGAAACGTAACTTGATTTCCTTTTTAAAGCGAAGTAGCTTCAGCAGCAAAGTAGGAAGTTACGAAAGACATACGAAGACGATAATGAATTTCTCGAGACTGGATGATTCAGGTTAGCGGCGGTCGTGAGGCGCAATGGGCTTTCGACCTCGGAACGTTCTAACGTCTGCGTCAGTCCGCCCGTGAGGAGGTGCAAAAACTTGCGAAGATTCGGGGAAGACGGCTGGGACGAAGCTAGCGGAACGAAGCCAGCGGAATGGAGCCAGCGGGACTGAGTCGCCCCGTTGGGACTTTCGGCAGGGTTTCCCCCTCGGAGATCGAAGTCTCGGGCCTCAAGGTCGTCCTCGTTCGGGGATCAAAACTCGCACGGTAAATTCGCATCTTTTGCTTTTTTGGCTTTCGTTTCCGCGGCCGATTTCCGTTTGCCATTCGCAGGAGAGTGATCTGGGCCTTCATCTTGGTCGTCTGCTTCGGATTGATGCTGGCTCAATGCCTGGACCGACTCTTCACCTTCTTTTCCGGGCCGATCGCGGTTACGATCCAAGTTACCCGGAACGAATCGCTCATCTTCCCGGCGGTCACCATCTGCAGCAAAAATATCGAGTAAGAAAACGCGATTTCGATCTCCCGATTACTCCGTGAAACGATTCGAATCTGATCCCATCTAGCGAGGCCGTGGACCAATTCGACGGGAACCGAGTGGAGGATTTGTGGCGTCGGGAATTCGGAGCTTCGAAATATCACGGAATTTGGGAGGCAACCCGAATCCTCTCCGAGAAACTCGGCGGCGCTGAGTTTTGGAGACTCGCAACCTACAACATCTCGAGCATCATCGCCAGCGTAGGACTGCCTCTCGCTAAGTATTTCGTTGATTGAAATTATTGGGTTGAAGTTATGAAAGTTGAGCCCTTTGGTTAGTCACTTGGTCTGATCGGTTAATAAATTGTGACTGGCTGCCATTTTCGACCGAACCTATCAGAACGCTTCAAGTCGCATTCCTGCAATCACGATGTTTCCAAAATTGTTACTCTTGATAAAACTTCGCAGGTAGGCGCAAAATCGTTCGAGAGCAAAAATCGATATCTCGCATTTCCAATAGTCATAGATGAAAATCGGCCATCGGGACAGCCCTATTTAAAATTCTATGATCTCTACTCCTATCAATAAATTTTTTAATGCAATGAAGAAACTTCAGTGAAATTTCAGGTCCCTGAAAAATTGTCATTCCTACCGAGCAGTTTGAAACAGTGAGCAGAGGCGAACAGCCATGCGTGAAGTATCCCGCTTTTTCTCGATCGGCATGTCAGCTGGCTTGTTACGAGAAGGATCTCCTCCACAGAACGAGCTGCAGGTGAGGAATGCGACATTTCTTGACGATTCTCGGTTCCTCACAACGCCACTTACAAGGTAGGATCTTATCATAGTAGACCCACCTTTTTTCCACCGAAGAAAAAGCAGGAACTTCAATTGATTGATGTGGAAATTAGCAAATGAGCCTGATTGGATGGCTTTTAACTGTTACAGATTGACAGGAAAGGGACTATTAAAAAAGGCTGACTATTTAAAATACCTCCCTCCAATATTGTGAAGGCTTCATGGACATGGCTTCTGAAATGAACATGACAGATTGCTTAAAAGTTAAAAAAAAATGTTCATCCATTGCTTCAAACGGATGAAATCACTTCAAAGTTGGAAGCACCGAAAATCGCAGTGCGGGACGCCATTTTGACACCCCTCTCTCGGAGTATCTCTCAAGGTGCTACTGAAGGAAAAAAAAAACAACCTATTGCACTTACGGATATCTAATGAAAAAAAAACAATAGTGAAGAGTGTTTTGAGACAACCTGTAGATGACTCTGCCTGTCTGGAATTGG